TTGCCTATTTTCTGGACCTCGAATTCATGTGAATTTTTTTTAACTTTTACGCTCAATTTCATACATAATCATATTCATTCCCAAATAATATCCAATGGAGACCGCATACTCAGGGATTTGTGGAAGGAACAATCTCTAATTAATAAATTGATGGCTGCAGCCGTTACTACGTGGTAGGAAATCATGATGAAAAGAGAAATGAAAATTTCTATGTTTTTTACCACATTTTAGCTCAATCAGGAACATGATAAGACTGAGTTTTCTCAAAGAACCGTTTATGATTAATACCTTCTAATCATTATCAAAAATGTGTCAATATCTGCTTCTCTTTCACTTTCATGAAGTTATTTCCGTTTGCTGTTCTTTCTTCATTGAATTTTATTTAAATCTTCGAATAAATTAGGTCCAAATGAACGTCTGCCTCTATCAACGGATCATCGTCACTTTCCTTTCAGCAGCGAATTTGCATAAGCATATAAATCACTGTGAAATTACAATAATCTCTTTATATACAAATGTTACAATAGAAGGCTGGGCCAGTTTTATTTGTGTGATGCAAAGTCCACTTGATAGTTAATTGGCCGACTAGTTTCATTGATTCAGTCATGGAAAACAAAGCTGGTGTCGAACTGAAATTTGAAAAAATCTAAAGCAAATGGAAATTCAAACGTTCAATTCAGTCTCTATATACCTACACGGTAGGTTTAATGGACTGATGCCTATCAGAAAACAACTACTCCCCTGGCTAATACCACGAAGGGCGTTGGATTGTATCCGACAGGCGTCAGTGCAGGAATCTTCACAGAAAATTTCCTGCATATGCAATTGACAATTCCATTTGCTTTAGATTTGCTCACTGCCAGTCTTCAAGCATGAAATTTGAAAATGTTTTCCAACCTATCGGGGAGAACACAACGGTTTTATTTGATTTTGAGTCCTCACAGAATCAGTGTGTTAGTTGTGGCGACACTAAAACTTTCGAAAATACCTAGAAATCTTCTTTGAACGACATTTTTTGTGGAGGACTTAATACTACTGTTTTTTTGGGTTTATAACCTTCCACAATCTTGGAAGGTTGAAGTTTCGAAAAACAATCCTTTTTCGATTTCAAAACCTTAAAATGACTTTTGTCAAAAGGAATTGGAGCTGTCAGAGTTTTATAGTGAATTTCCGGTTTTGAAAACAAAAAAGATTGTTTTCCGATACGTTAGCCTCTTGAGAAAGATTGCTGAAGGTTATAAACCAAAAAAAACAATAGGAAACCTAGGGATCTACTGTTGATTCTTGGTAGATGACACTGACATTTTCTAACATGAGATAATCATAAAATGGATTTTTGTTTCATTAGCTCATTCACGATTCATAAATTGAAACATACAAATGAGAAAGAAGTCTTGCCTTTTAAAGGCATAAGTTTTCAATTCTAGACATCACGGAAAAGTATTATTCAAAATCTGATTTACTTTGTAAAAAAATAATGGTGATAAGTTGAAGCGGGTAAATTTTCAGGAGAGATTAAATTATGCAAAAAAGGGCTACCACAGTATTTGGTAACATCTTATTTTATAGGTAGGATGCAAAAAGTGAGAATTGGTCAATGCATGGGCGATGATTGTGATATTAGACAGGAGGTTCCCCAGAGTTCGAATTCAGGCCCATTAGTGTTGTTACTCACCCCCGCTAGAGGGTTGAAGACACAGGTAGAAAAATACATCTTAAATGTATCCCCCTCAAAAGCAAAATTGACCTGTCCGAGCATTTTTGCGTTGAGTTACAAAAAAAGGAGAAAAGCAAGGTGCATACTTTTCGTTGGACCACTCTATATGAATAAAAATTGCTACTAGAGTTTACTACAAAGACTAGTTTACTACAGCAAGTGTGCTATTTCAGTTCGTGTATCGTTGATAATCTGGTGGAAATGTGTTCGCAAATGGCGAGAGTTTCGAAACCAAAATCATCTTTGGGAAGGAAAACTGTGCCTGTTGATGAAAACTACAAATTTGCAATAAGAAGAACAGTATATTAATTTCATTTCAAGAAAGAAATACCGACCATCGAAAAATACCAAAGACTCTAAAAGCCATTTTTTTTAATATCGCCTTAAAGTATACTCCTGTCAATATCAACAAGATTTCTATGGTTGGGATTGAATCAACTAAGCGAATGAATGTCATTACGTACTTTTATCGATGACATGGGTGGATTCAACCCATTCCGTGACAAAAAGTCGTAATTTTATGAACTAATTGAGTAATTTTTCTCATAATGTTATTCGTATTTGCTACTGAAGAGCCGATGAGGCTCTTAAGGCGAAACATCGAATGTCTACCAGTGAGGATGACAGTGTTCCATTCAAGTGAAATTTCAACTATTTCATTTACTATGTTCCGTATGAATCCTGTGAAAGATATCTGATTTGATTCCGTTACGAATGTTTGAAATGCAAACTCATTCAGTGTTTATATAAAAGTATGTGTTTCGAAAGTAATTTTTTTCAGGTAATTCAATGTTTATATTAAAGTAGTTGTTTCGAGAGAGATTTTCTTCCAGTTTGTGCCAGAAGGTTACTTCTTTACATGATCTAGATATTGAGTTGATTTTTTTGAAATTGACTTCCTTTCCACATGTTTTTTTGTATAAAGCTCGAGAAGTAGAAAGGCAAAACCTTTCTTTCCCAAAAATCAATTTCTCCTAAAAATATACCTCTTTCAATTGCATCATGTTGTATCATAAAATTCGTGTTGTGATTTTGTAAAGTAGGTAGTTATTGAAAATAATCTCACGATAAATTGTTACTTAAATGCTTTAAATCTTATTTTGTTAATAAAAATTGCAATTTTTTACCTGCACCAAAATCTTTCAAAAACATTTTTCTATAGGTGATTCCGAATCGAATGAGCTATCGCTCATATTTTTATGACCTCTATCTCTATTTTTCATGTTTTTGAACTTGTTGATTAGACTACTATAGAAGAGAGACAAATTCCCAACCTTTCTTCGATGTTCCAGTTTGCAAGTGATGTTCGCGTCTCCAATCAGGCGGATGGCTCTTTTCTGGATGGCGGAGCTCCATATATGGAAACAATACTCCAAAGAACGTCTGATCTGAGCTTTATAAAGCACCAAAAGTTGCTGAGGTGTGTACAGTTTTTTGTTACGAAACAGTGTTTCTAGCTTTTGAGAAGCAGCCTTTGCAATTTCACCGACATGATTGTGCCAATACATATTGGACGTTTCGAATGCGTTACACCCAGTTAAGTCGTGGCGAAAATTAGAACGATGGTATATTCCACACATAATGGCATCAATAGGTCTTTGTAACGAATAAAAATTTTCTCTCACACACTTTGTTTCAATTGAATCTAATAATTGTGTGCGTTATACTTACCGGTATATGGATGAAAGTTCCGTTTTGCAGGACAGGATGGGAGTAGAGCGGCACGACGGGCACTTGACCGTTTTTGAGGAGAATCGGGCCCTGGATTGGCGTAACGGGTATGTGCGTGTACTCCTCCTCGTAGTCATAGTCTATGATTGCGTGCACGTTCGATTTAGACCCGTTGTCTGTCGGACGATTGGGCGGCTGGGGGCGGCTTTTGGTATTTTGCGGCTGCCGATTTTCCGGATGTCTGTAAGGCGGGTACTCTTCGGCTAGGAACTGTTTCTGGGGAGGGGGGTAGGAGTAAGACCCTTCAGGGGCTTGGTAGGGGGAAAAGGGTTGTGGAGGCGGGAAGTAGCTGGCTGCGGGTGGCGGCGGGGTGGCCAGGTACGGCGAGCCGCTGAAGTTGAAGAGGGCCATTTTGGTGTTTTGTTATTGGCTGCTATGCTTTGAACCGTTCATTTTTGGTAACTACTGAGCCAACTGAAACAAAGGAACAAGTGTTATAATCTCTTATTGCCAGGCTTAATTTACAACTGAAGATTGCACCACGGCTGTGCAACGGTACGCGATTAATCAATAAAAAATCAATGAAAAACGTCGACGATGGCAAGTTCGAAGATGAAAATATATTAACACAACGAATCCTTTTTATAACTTACCTATCTAGATTGTCATTAGACGAAGGTAACGAGATAGTTCTGTGTAACATTGAATTGTAGACTGCTAATTCATGACTGTCGGGATGGAAAAAAACATTTGAGATTGTGTTATGTCTGTAATGGCTCGGTTTTCTAAATATATTGAACTCAAATTCATCATAATTATGAGCTATGGTCAAGTTTTAGAAATCAATCTGTTTCTCTGTCTCTGTTACGAGTGTATGTTTCCATGAAGATCATTAACAAATGCCATCATTCAAACAGATGTCGTGTAGTACCTCTGGAACAGGCGAGAATATCGTCTACATAACTATAGTGGTCTCCAAAATTTAAATGAATATTTTGACTGAAAGTGGTCAGGGGGAGGGGGGGAAAGCCCATTGGTAAACCCTGTAATCTTTAAAAGAATACGCGACGTATTGGTGATACATTAAGCTGCATCAAGTAGATCCGCTATTGTTGATAATTGCGAGTCATTTACGTACTCTGTTGAGTTTAAAAACCCAAACTTTGTCATTTTCGAGCAATAGCAATCAAGCAACCAGCATAGATACCATTTGCTATGATGTTGCTAAATAATTCCGTTAAAAAATAGAAATTAATCGACAACATTTTTAGGTTTTATGGCATGTTGATGAGAGAATCAATGATATATAACCGGGGACAATCAAGTAGATCCGCTATTGTTGACAATTGCGAGTCATTTACATACTCTGTTGAGTTTTAAAACTCAAACTTTGTCATTTTCGAGCAATAGCAATCAAGCAACCAGCATAGATAGCGTTTGCTATGATGTTGCTAAATAATTCCGTTAAAAAATGGAAATTTATCGACAACATTTTTAGGTTTTATGACATTTTGATGAGAGAATCAATGATATAAAACCCGGAACAATCAAGAAGATCCGCTATTGTTGACAATTGCGAGTCATTTACATACTCTGTTGAGTTTTAAAACTCAAACTTTGTCATTTTCGAGCAATAGCAATCAAGCAACCAGCATAGATAGCGTTTGCTATGATGTTGCTAAATAATTCCGTTAAAAAATGGAAGTTTATCGACAACATTTTTAGGTGTTATGGCATTACTGTTGATGAGAGAATCAATGATATAAAACCGGGGACAATCAAAACGTGCGGCAATCGGCGTGCATTTTTTGTCTTCGGTACCTGAAAAGCGAATTTAACCTGAGTCATATCGGTGAGTGGTACAAGCGGTTGAGACACGAGGTCACACAGTCACTCGTGAATCTTTAAAAATGTCCCATTGCGCTAGTTATCGAACAATATTTTATAATTCGAACCACTATATTTACAGCGTCTAATAATACATTAACCGTTGCTTGATAGTTTAAATACCGAAAGATATTTATGATACGACTCTTGAAAGTTCAATGCGAGATCAATGAAAGTGAACGTGTTCTACAGAGCGATGTCGAAATATATTCCGAGAAGACGGCGCGAACGATTCTGATTCATGAATGCGATAAAAATATTTCATTGAATATTTACACTACTTTCAATATTTGATTGTGAAGTTCCTACATTGACGTTATATAAGTAAACCAAGAACTGGAAGGGAAGGCAGAGAACTGGTTCTCATGAAACAAGTTGAAGCTAAATAGGGATGACACCCAAAATGTTATCATATCATCAAATAACCGCTTAACAAATAACAATCATGTTCTGTATCTGTATAATAGGGAGGGTGAGTGTAGGCCCACATCACTTAGGCCACCATTGTACATCCTCCCGAGGAGTTGTCCTCCTAGGTCATCGTCCATCCTGTACTTTCCAGGAAGGTGGACAGGTCTCTGGGAGGCATCTCCTTTATATCGGCAGGTGTAGGCCAAGACTCGCCGAACACACACTCTCTTATTGACGATAACTCCGGGCACTCGCACAGGAAGGTTTGTGCAGAGAACGTGGTGNGAACGTCTGCCTCTATCAACAGATCATCGTCACTTTCCTTTCAGCAGCGAATTTGCATAAGCATATAAATCACTGTGAAATTACAATAATCTCTTTATATACAAATGTTACAATAGAAGGCTGGGCCAGTTTTATTTGTGTGATGCAAAGTCCACTTGATAGTTAATTGGCCGACTAGTTTCATTGATTCAGTCATGGAAAACAAAGCTGGTGTCGAATTGAAATTTGAAAAATCTATAGCAAATGGAACTTCAAACGTTCAAGTCAGTCTCTATATACCTACACAGTAGGTTTAATGGACTGACGCCTATTAGAAAACAACTACTCCCCTGGCTAATACCACGAAGGACGTTGGATTATATCCGACAGGCGTCATTGCAGGAATCTTCACAGAAAATTGTAGTTTGTGATATCGCCTTTTATTACTACCGCACAAATTCGAGCCGTTTTCCACTGCTCAGGGAAGGCAGAAGTTGAATTAATTGAGTTGAATATGCCTATTAGAGGTATAGAGAGAACGTCGATGCAGTCCTTTATCACAAGACTAGGAACATTGTCAACGCCTGCGGTGAGAAGTCTGTAATGGAAACGGATATCTAAACTTTTTTAGGCCGCCGTTTTTAATCCTAGACATCACGAAGAAGTATCTGATTTACTTTATGAAGAAAGAATCGTGATAAGTTGAAGGGGATAGATTTTCAGGCGAGATTAACTTCTGCGAAAAAGGGTTACCACATCATTTGGTAACATCTTATAGGTAAGAGGCAAAAATTGAGAATTGGGCGATGATTGTGATATTAGGTAGGGAGTTCCCCAGGACTCGAATTCAGGCCCCTTTTTTCATGTTATTTGCTAATGATCTTTCATAAGTAAAACAAACTCGACATTCGTTACAAGTTATGCTGACAGTACAAATATTTTGATTGTTGAAGACAACATGGATACACTCCAAAAAACTGCCGAGGATATATATGATCAAATCATGTTGTGGTCTGAGAAGAACAATTTGAAACTTAACAAATCGAATGTGATACTATATGAAAATAGTACAAAATCAATTAGTCCTGTAGTCTCTGCACCTCTAGTATGCTCTTAAGATTGTACCATGCTAACTTCCATTCACAACTTCGATATGGTATTATCAACTGTGGTATGAGTGCTTCTGTCAAAAGGATATTTCTCCTTCAGAAATATGTTGTTAGAATAATAGCAAAGCTAGGGTACCAAGATTCATATAGAGATGCTTTTAAACAGCTTTTAAACAGTTGTCAGCACTTATATACTAGAGACTAATGCATACGTTCACAAACATAAATACAATGTTCAGTTCTCTCTTCCAAAACATAACCACAGTACTCTTTCTAAAGATCTTATCTTACCAAACGCTCATAGAAGTTGAATCACTTCGTTCAGGTCAGTCTCAACTCACTACAGTGTAGGTTAATGGACTGACATCCTTCAGAAAACAACCACTCCCCTGGCCAATACCACGAGGGGTGTTGGATTATATCCGTGTCAGTGCAGGATTCTTCACTGAAGTTATTCCTGCATATGCTGTTGACGATACAACTGCCGCAATATATTTTAAATTACTGTAACACATTTGCAGACCTGTTTCCGGCTGTTTGGCCACTCGTCAGTGCAAGGTGGTGTATATCATCAACATGAAGTCGATTATTTCCGATAATTGAAAATCGAATTCCTTCAGAGTATCATTTCTCGAACTAGGCTGAAGTGGATAACAAACAACAGATTTGTCATCGCCCCATCTGCCCGTGAACGAGGTAACCAACCGCATATTCTAAATTTGACCAATTCCTCGTATAAGGAATGTCAGTGGGCAAGTGATATCTGATTGAATTCCATAACAAATGTTTGGAATACAGTGAAAAGGGTTCATATAAAAGTAGGTATTTGTTTTGAAAGTATTTTTTTGTGTAATTCAATATTTATCACAGATTATATGTATATGTCATGTACTCGTATATGTATGTATATGTATATGATTATGTTAATACATGCATATGTCAGAGTATATGTTATCAGAGTATTTTATAACCGGAAGAATATGAATTAATTGTGAAGACCTTGCTTCTTAATCAGTGTTGTTATCAGTAAATTATACATAGTACATGAATAAAAATGGTTACCAGAGTGTACTACAAATACTAGGTTATTACAGCAAATGTGCTATTTCAGTTAACGAAAAGATCATTATTCTTAATATGTATGACACTCTCATACACTAACATCATTCGTGTACCGTTGATACTCTGGTGGAAATGTGTTCGCAAATGACGAGAGTTTCGAAACCAAAACCATCTTTGGGAAGGAAAACTGTGTCTGAAGAAAAGAGAATTGAAACTTTCTAAGTTTAGTGGTAAGAAACAAAGAAAGTTCCCATTCTCCTTTTTTCATTATGATTTCCTACCACGTAGTAACGGCTACATCTATCAATTTATTAAAACTGTGTCTGTTGATGAAAATTACAAATTTGCAATAAGTAGAACAGTATATACATTTTATTTTAAGAAAGAAATACCGACCATCGTCGAAGTAATGGGAGCTTCGGAAGAATAATAAAGTCTCCAAAAGCCATTTTTTAATTTATCCTAAATATAATCCTTTCGATTTCAACAAGATTCCTATGGCTGGGATTGAATCATCTAAGCGAATGAATGTCATTACGTACTTTCATCGATGACATGGGTGGATTCAACCCGTTCCGTGACAAAAAGTCGTAATTTTATGAACTAATTGAGTAATTTTTCTCATAATGTTATTCGTATTTGCTACTGAAGAGCCGATGAGGCAAGTGTCTTATGGCGAAACATCGAATGTCTACCAGTGAGGATGACAGTGTTCCATTCAAGTGGAATTTCACCTATTTCATTTACTATATTCTGTAGGAATCCCGTGAAAGATATCTGATTCGATTCCGTTACGAATGTTTGGAATGCAAACTCAATATAGAAAAGTGTTTTTTGTATAATTCAGTGTTTATATAAAAGTATGTGTTTCGAAAGTAATTTTTCTCAGGTAAGTCAATGTTTATATTAAAGTAGTTGTTTCGAGAGAGATTTTCTTCCAGTTTGTGTCAGAAGGTTACTTTTTTACATGATCTAGATATTGAGTTGATTTTTTTGAAAATGACTTCCTTCCCACATGTTTTTTTGTATAAAGCTGGAGAAGTAGAAAGGCAAAACCTTTCTTTCCCATGAATCAATTTCTCCTAAAAATATACCATTTTTAATTGCATCATGTTGTATCATAAAATTCGTGTTGTGATTTTGTAAAGTAGGTAGTTATTGAAAATAATCTCACGATAAATTGTTACTTAAATGCTTAATATCACGTATTTTCATCAAATATCGGCCAATTCCAGCCCAGGTAGTGTTCTGACTCTCACTGTATGAATTTCTAAATGGGTGTGAAATAAAATACTGATAGTTGTGAAACAAATTTCGATATCACGAGATTTATTCGTAACTGCTGGGTGCGATGATATTCACTTCGAATTTACAGACATACAGTCAAACCCCTCAGTATCAGTACAAAACCCTGAACCTGCAGCCTTCCGAAAACGCATGGGATTGAGCAAGAAACCTATTAGTCGTATCTAGGTGACCACTTTCGTTTTCATCTGAACTCACCTCGGGTCGCAGAACTTCACACTCGGCAAGACAGTTTCCTGCTTATCTTCCTCGAACCGACCGACCAAATGTCAACACCTCCGTCGGTAAAACGGACACCTTCGATCGAAAATAATCAACGGTTCGAAAAAAATCAAGCGCCGGCCACGCACGCTTCGATTTGTGAAAGCGCAAAAGGAGACTGTCGTTCCATTGCCGACCAGAGCATATAGTACTGGGGTACTTGGGGGACCCCACTCGTCCACAATGACTGCCACCAGGTGACACCTACTCTTGCGGTGCTGCTACACTTCGAGGAAACTCGATCTGTCGTTAGGTGTTCAAGAAAAGCGGCGAGAAGTGCGTCTGTAACCGTGGCACTGAAGTGAAAAAAATTCAAAAGGGAATATCGATTGATCCAAAAAAGATATCGATCTCGGAACGATAATCTCTAACTGGACTTCCAAAGTTACGAAAATTCCAACTTCTGACTGCGTATGACATAATTCAAACTTAGAAACACCACATTACCTCTACATTTTATTTGAATACTTCACAGTTTAATGTCTTATACAGTGTGTCAATTTTAAAACTTACAATGGGCTATATCTCACGAACGAAAGCTGATAACGAAAAATGCTTGAAACCGTTTCTAGGATAGTAAGGGGGAACTAAAGTGACATGAAAGAGAACTCACCCCCATCAACCCCCTAGGCCACACCACCCAAAACACACAAAGTTTAAATTGTAAACCCCTACTTGTGATACATCATTGAAAAGACTATGTTCCAACACAACAACAACCGATGAAAATGTTGAGGAAGTGAAGAAAATTGTTATGGAGAATTGTCGAATCACTATTAGAGAAGTCGCTGAGAATGTCTGCATATTAGTTGGCTCATAACATGCAAATATTTTTGAAAATTTCAAATACGAAGCGTGTGACAGAAAATTTCGTTCCAAAATTGCCAATTTTGAACAAAAACCCGTCGTATGAGCTTCGCTCAGGAATTGTTGAATGACATCAATCATGGGCATATGGTTATGACAACAGTGGTGTGATTTTAATTTACTCTCCTTCAACGTAGACAAGACCAAAATGGTAAACTTCAAATTGAGCCATGACAACTTGCTATGAGATGGTAGGAAGATAGAAGAAACGACTTACACTAAATTTCTTGGTCTGCATGTTGACCATAAGTTAAAATTGAAAAAACATTTTCATGCACAAAATTGGCGTCAGGATCATTTGATGTCAGACATTGTCTCCAATGAACTTGATATATTCACTGCTAGATCGACTTACTTTGCCCTAGTAGAGTCTCATCTAAGGTATGGCATTGCATTTTGGGGATTCTGTAGTAAACAACTATTGAATCAGGTCTTCGTGTAGCAAAAGGGCTATTTGCGGTTTTTATGCGGGGTAAACCATAGGAATAGCTGTAGACAACTTTTCGTTAAATACCGAATCCTCACTCTATTCAGCATCTTCATTCTCGAAGTTGTTTGCCTGATTCATAAAAGATATAACATTGATTCTCCAGATACATATAGTATCCACAACACAAGATAGAACAGTAGTAATAATATCCATCTGCCAATATCCAGTTTGACTCTAACAAAACACTCTAACATGTACGAAGGAAAAAAATTTTCAACCATTTACCGCAGGTAGTTAGGGATATAATAGAGCAGAGACGTTTCAGTGAGTCGGTCAAAAATATATTGCTCATGAAAGCTTATTTACAGATTGTAAATATTTTCATATATATACATGTTAAATTAGAAAGTGAACCACATAACATACATGTTTGTTTGGTTTGTTTTGTTTGTTTTGTATATTTGTTTGTTTTGTTTGTTTTGTTTGTTTTATATATATACACACATCGGAAAAGTGTAGGGATATTTTTAAAAATGGCAATAATTTTTTTTAGATCGCTTTAGGGAAAAAAAGTTGACGGGTGATTATTAAACGAATGTAACTTACAACAAAATTTATTAAATGGTCAAAAATACTGAGTTTGGCCTTCTGTTGTGGAGATCTGCTTCATGCAGTCGATTTCTGACAGTATCACCAATGGTTACCTGGTGCGTCTGCTGCAACACGTTAACCAACTCAGGTGCTGTGATTGTCGGTTGTCTTTTTGCGGTTAAGACCAAAAATCGATCTTGAACTGCAGTTGTAGCGCGTTCTCGCCCTGGATGTTGGAAATGATGGAAATCCTCAAAATGCACCTACCACCTTAGTGGGGTTGGCCAAACTGATATACACTGTCCGCCACTCGCGATGGAACATCCCATTTTTACGGTAAAACATATTAGGGGGCAAAATAGGCTCAAAATTCCAAATACCAACTTACTACGACTACAATTTTTCCTGAAAAAAGTTTAATTCCTGAAAAATCCGAATTTGTCTCTCATGGAAACACCCCCGTATCTTCCGTAATGATTGAAATAGTTTTTTTTTTGGTTTTGACATCAAAACATGAACATCAGTCCTGAGAGTTTCATCGTTCCACTTCGAATATTACGGAAGATACGGGGGTGTTTCCATGAGAAGTGAGACACACTGTATACCTATACATATATTTACATTTTTCACCACACTTTGTCAATGAGAATTTATTCTTGGACAAGAAAGTATATTTATTTATCTATCTATCTCAAACCAAAGTGCGGTTGTCCCAAAGAAAGAGCACGCCAAATTCCATCAAATGTCAAGGGTTTGCGCACTGTTTCATTCCAATACTGTGGCGTAGTGCATCAGGAGTTTTTGCCATATGATTGTACGGTCAATAAGAAGTATTATTTTCAAGTTATGCGCAGCTTGCTAAAAGCAATACAAAGAAAACGTCCGTATTGTGGAAACACAATTCATGGTTTTTGCATCACAATAATGCATCTGCTCACTCGTCATTGCTTGTTCGTAATTTTTTGTTCGAAAACAACACCGTAATCTTGCCGCTGCCACCGTATTCACCAGATTTGTCCCCCTGCAATATTTTTGTTCTGAAGAATGGAGTAACCCATGAAGGACGGTGATAAAAATCGAATCGCTAAGAGAGCTGAAAGACATACCAAAAAGTGAATATCAGAACTGTTTCGAGGATTAGAAAAAAGCTGGCACAAGTATCTTATACATTCAGAAATTAATACACAAACAAAATTTTTTTGGAGAAAAATGGAAATTCATCTAATTTTTTGAACAGATTAAATAGTACGGGGCTGCTTTTTGGTGATAGGTCTCCCAATTTTATGTTTTGAAGTTATCATCATGAAGTAATTTTACGTTTCATTGCCTGAATTTTTTCTTTATCGATATCATAATAATAATTATATATGAATTTATTCAATTTCCAGTACAAGGATCAGTCAATAACAATTTG